CTGATTATTCAGGTAATAAAATATCATCAGTGTGTTAAAAGAGGGTGGTCTCTTATCTGTTGTAGAAAAGCATTCAATATTTAGTATCTCTTCCATCTAATCATCTATCAATTAGTAATTAAGTTTCAAATTAACGGTTTATTTCCATATTTTGTTTTTTTAATAAATCATTGTTGATAATAGAGAGAAATCCCTGGGCCGTCCTTTAATAGAAATAGAAAATGGTCAAAATTGAATTGGATTGCTGCTTCGATCTTATTAAACATGAAATGCATAAATAGGACTTAGAAGTTATTGCAATTTCATAAAAATGTTATCTTTAAGCCTACTCTATGCATTATCCTGATTGTGGATTGGAATAGGCTTTGCCTGATGAGGCTGTAAAGGGATTTTCTAACACGTTTGGATGGATTGTTTTTCTTTATTCGTATGGAAAAGACGTTACTTATTTTGGCAGTAACGTAGAAGTTACTCTAAAGCAATAACTAACATATAAGTTTCTTAAACCGAGTCAAATGTTCAGCTAATGAATACCTGTCTTTGGAATTGGCTGTTTTCAAGGTTTGGTTCCCTGTGTGAACAGTTTGTATTGAGTAATGTTTTGTGGTGGTGGTAGGTGTCTAGATGGTAATGGGGCTCACATTTAATTATCTAATGAAGGAACTGGTGCTTTGATAGGATTACTCGTTTGGGTTTCAGGCAACCCCAAAATAACTTAATATTGGACCTTTTACTACAAATGAGACATGGCCCACCTGAATTGATCTTATAAATTGGCAGGAAAATAAAAAATTCATTTATTTTTATTTTTATTTTTAAATTCCAATGAATGGGAAACCCTGACTATCCTTAGCATGATCACATGTTATGGATTTAAGCTAAAAATCCTGAACATTTAGCAGAAATTCACGTGGTCAACTTTGACTATTTATTGATGTCCGTTTTAGATTATGAGTTTTCCCCAAATAGGAAATTGATGTTATGTAGCTGTTCCGAAGAGCATGTAATGTCACTCCCTTCTAGAATCTATTGAACTTTTGGATTAATCTTGTCCAATTTTCTTGAACAGTGAATCTTTCTAAAATACAAAGAGAGTTTGTATCGAATAAAGTATACACTCTTTTAACTTTGTTGTGTTAGAATTTGGCTCGGAAAATATGAGCCAGCATATGCCTCTTGTCGATAACGTGTTTGGTCTCATACACAGGGGCTATACAAAATCAGGTGCTAGATTCGGTTTGAAATGTTGGTTATAGATGCTCTTGACCGTCGTTGGCCAGGCAATGACAATGGCGATGGCAATGGGATGTTGGTTTAAATGTGGTAGGACACGAGTTAATTTTTGAATTGGAAATGGTCAAGAAGAATTTACCATTACCCTATTTTGTAGTCGTTAATGGAGGAAAAACAGGCCTCTCCATAATTCAATTCACACTCATTTTTTAAGCTGCAGTTTTATTTTATTATTTGATTATTTGATGTAATCTTTATTTGAGATTCTAGAAGAATTTCTTTTAATTACTTTATTCGATGACTTAGCACATTATTAGTCGTAAAAAAATAATGAATATGATTATTTAAATAATGGAGTGTCTATGAGTATTGTATTAATAGGGGGAGAAGGGCACTGAGGTCTTCTGTAAGGTCAAATCAAAGTCATCATAATTATATGCATCGTACCATGGAAAAATAGATTACGGTCAGAGAAAATTGGAGTAGGAATAACTTGGTGGGCCTAATCTAGGGATGGCAAAAGGCTCGTAGGTTCGGACTGTTCGTGACTTGCGGGTCGGCTAGAGAAAAAATAAATAGCTGCCTAAAGTAGCGTGCTAGTTGCTTGTACAAAGGCAACTGGCTGCCTTTGTTTAAAGGCAACGGGCAAGCAACAGGAATAAAAAAACAACGGGAAAGAGGGAAAAAAAAAAGGAACTCAAGCCGAAAGTTCGGGTCGAGCTTTTATTTGGCTCTGCTCAGACCAAAAAAAGCCCATTTTCAAAAGTTCGAGTCGAGCCCAAGCCTTGATTTTCGGCTCGCTAACTGGCTCGGCTCGTTGACACCTTCGATCAAACTTTCTTTAATTAATTGAGTGAAAATGATTATTATTTGAGAATTCTAAACTATTTGAAACTATGATGTAATTTAAAGTACTGAATATTATTTCTACATCTTGAGAATTTTCCAATTAATAAATCAGGTTAGTTTTGAATGTTGAGTCAGTCCATTTACTAGTTTAAACCTAGTCCCAATTTTTTGAGATTATAAGCTAGTCAAACTTCTTTTTTAATCAATTATTTTCGTTGAACTTATAACTTTTGAGATATTTTACGTGATAAGTTTTCTTGCTTTGTCGTTAAAAATGCACTGAATCAAACTAATTTTGATTCCACTTCAAATTGAGATCAATTTCACTTATTACCACACCACTATGTTTACACAAGATTTGAAATTTAGGAGCAAAATGCGGCAGAGATTTCAATTTCGATTTCGATTTCAATTTCAATTTCAATTTTAAGTTTCTACTTTGTGGACTTTGGAGTCCATTGCTTTCTTTCTGTCGTTTTTTTCCTCTAATGTAGAGAAAATTCACACATTGAAAAAAAAAAACAAAGAAAAACTTGGGAGAAATGTAATGGAAGAAATATGGTCAATTTAGAAAATCATTCATTAATTATTTTACGATGATGTGACTTTATTTAGCAATAACTGAACCAAAAGACTTTATTTAACAAAGACCCACTCGGAAAATTCTTGATTTCTTTTTTGGGATTTAGGAAACAAAATCAATTTTCCTTTCGATATTTTTGGACAAACGATTTGAAATATTTTGACGCTTCTAAAGAATGGTTCATTCAATGACGAAACTAAATGCCACTTATTGGCCCCCGGAGCATATCCCAATGATACAAAGGACAAGAGTGATATATATTCAGCTTTGCTGGCAGCCGCAATATGAAAATTCGATTCCTGAAATATGGATTGAAACTCTTTTTAGGCATCAATGTACATGCAGCTCTTGTTCCCTGGTCTACTAGGACATATCCCGCAATTAACCTCGATACTCCAGGGGTGGAGTGGGATGGTGGGGAACCCTTAAGGTTAGGGTTCAACCTTTTTTTTTTTTGTAGTGCTGGTCCTTTTAAAATTTTAAAGCTAGTTGGTCCAAATACATATATTGTTAACATTCCACCCCACCTTGGTTATTACTCTACTTTCAATGTTGAGGACTTAGTTGCTTATAAAGGTCATTTCATTCCCTCAGATGATCCTATGTTACCTCCTTTTGTGGACCTTGACCTTGATTTTTTGGCCCCTTCTAACCCACTACCACCTCTCACAGCACACAAAGATAACATTGATGCTATTTTAGATGAAGAAACTATGTTAACTAATGATGGAGAGGTTCAACGCTTCTTTGTTCGTTGGGTTGGTCGACCAGATTCTTACTGTACATGGATCTCCAGAGAGAGGCTACAGCAACTGGACCCAGATTTATTGGAGTTTTATTGGAGTCAGTAGGATCTTCCTTGGCCCAGATCGCCTCCCGTCCATCCAAGGGGAGTTGGTGATGACACCAAATTCAGACTTTCGCTGGCACATTTCTATAAACGCCGGAAGAAGCTTGCCCAACCACTCAGCTTATGGTTGGGAGATTGACTGCAACCCATATTGATATATCCACTCCATAGGGTCGAGTTTTCTTCCATCCCGGGAGAGTTGATGAGGACATCCAGTCGTTTTTATTTATTTCTAGTTGGACCTTATTTCATTTTGTGGACTTTATTGTTTTGAATTCTTATTAGGCTTATATTGACACGAGCTCAATCTAATATTTAAACTACTTTGTATTGTAATTTATTTTCAGTTCATGATTGAATAAAACTTTTGGCGGCTTATGGCGAATTCCTCTCTTCCTATTTTCTTTTTCTCCTTCTGTTGAATCTTCTTCTTTCCTTTTTTCCTCTTTAATTCCCCCTCCCTATAGATCTGTTCTATTTCTCCATTAATTGTCCCGTTGGTGCTACATCACATGGGCTATATTCATGCAACATGCAGATGATGTGCATGAAATCAAATTAAAATTCATGCACTTCTAGCATATATAACTATGTGCATGTTTGGCAAAGCTTAAATTATAATTTAAGCCTGTCAAACTTTTTTTTTTTTTATCATCATGTTTCGTAGGATTCACAATTATTATCCCTTTATTTTGTAGGACCCACGACTTATAATCACTTGTAAGTACTCCCAAGCATGCTCTATATTTTGTAAACTATTTGAGCGTGCTGCGTGTATCAACAAGAGATATGTATGTACTGATATTGCTTTGGAAAAAGATCATATCATTGTTTGGGAGGACTTTTCATCTACCACGAGTGTCTAGGCACATTGTAGGGCTCTAACAACTTCACTCAACTTTACCTTGTCACCCTTATTTGGCCGGTTTCTCATGATTTACATGCATTCACTTCGCTGGGTGTGGCTCCTACAACTTAGTTGTCAAGTACTTTGTTGAAACTTGTAGAAGGTAGTTTAATGGATAGAAACTATAGGTAGCGAAATTAGATTTAAAGAGTCATTTCTACCAAACTTATTGGTGCTTCTTTCGGTTAACTTCGGGAAATTTCACCTAGCCTTAGTTTGAAAATTCAAATTTAAAGGCTTTCTTTCCCATCATTCAACTTTAACCAGTTTCAGTCAATAGTCGATGCTGAAATATGCAGCACATAGCTTCTTCTCATTGTTTCCTGTATTTGTGTATTAGTATGTGTATGTGGTCAGGGGCATTCAAATTGAATAACTATTTTGATCAATGTGTATGGGGGAACTGGATAATCGATATTAACTCGAGTGAATGGTGTATCTCTTTCATATTGCCCATTGCTGGTGTGTGGTTTTATTTGATAGTCACAAAATTCTTCGAGTTATTGTTCCTTTAAGTTGCTGGTAAGTTTTTGTTCCTTTAAGTTGCTTGAAACATTATGACATAAAGACACTCAAGATTATAATACAATTTTATGTTTACCAGATCAGATGGTGAAAATCACGATGAACGACCAAAAGTGGATAAGTTGTTCTTGAAGAAAAAGGGAATAGGCTCGGAAGCCAGGGCTGAACGCATGGCTAATGCAGATGCAGACTTACAGTTGCTGGGGGAAGCGGAACGAGAAAGACGGCTGCAAAAGCAGAAGAGACGCAGGCGTCAAGGACAGGAAGATGAAGTATGCCCAAGAAATTCACACTTGATCTTATATCTTCTTCTTCCCTTCTGAAAACTTTTTGCACTTTTCCCTGAATGGAAAATGGCTGCAACATTTTTAACATACATACATACATAAAAACACACACACACATATGTATGTATATTATATCCACGACGGTGGTTGGGGGTAGGGGAACCTTGATCATGCCTTCTGTTGATAGGGAAAATATGAAAGAGGCATGCTAGTAAAACACAGTGATTCACACTTGATCTTATATCTTCTTCTTCCCTTCTGAAAACTTTTTGCACTTTTCCCTGAATGGAAAATGGCTGCAACATTTTTAACATACATACATACATAAAAACACACACACACATATGTATGTATATTATATCCACGACGGTGGTTGGGGGTAGGGGAACCTTGATCATGCCTTCTGTTGATAGGGAAAATATGAAAGAGGCATGCTAGTAAAACACAGTTTACGACTTTATGTTTTGCAGAAAAGGTCCTCTTTGCATATTAATACTGCTATACGCTTTCAACTTTTGAAAGATGAAAAAAATGAAAAATGGTACAGCTGACTGCTGAAAGAATGGGGATTCATGAGGTATCTATAATTATCTAAAATTATATCAACGACAGGAATGTAAACAGTTAGTTAAAGGGGGTGTCAAGATAGATTTGAACCTTTCGTGTGTATTTTATGTATTCTACTTTTCCCAGTTTACCATCATATTTTCTTTCTTAGTACATTTACTCATTAGTGTATTTTTTGAGACTGCTAGGTGCTAGCAAAACTTGAGAAATTTAAGTCCGTATTTTCTGCCAAATCCAATGGATCTGACGATGAACCTGTGCGTAAGAAGGACGAAAACTTGTCTGATTGGATGGGAGTCGGACTAAAGTTTACTCCTGAGGCTGGCAAGGTACTCTTCAGTTTTCTAATGCATCATGGAGAACCTATACATTTTGACAGCGGTTGTGATTATAATGGATAAAATTTCATCTAGAGTTTTGGTTGGGATGTAGAAAAATGGGGGGAAGGAAAATTGAGGAAAACGTGCATATCAAGGAACAAGCTTCAATAACAGAACAACATGAATTCTGCTTCAATAATTATCCATTACTCTAGGAGTTCATTGTCATTTTAACTATGTTTTCCCAAGCAATAAACAATCACTAATTTTAATGTCACTGGTTTTTCTACGGCTTCTACTTCTTTGAAACCAAAGGAATATATAGCAAAACTATATGAATATGACCCTAAATTTGTTTTGTTATAATTATCATGCCGTTGTCTCGTGCATGATGGGTGCATCATCTATCATACCTGAAAAGATGATTATAGAAAATGATCAGAAAATGGTACTAGTTTAAAGTTTTAATTTCATAATGTAAAAGTCTTGGAATATGTTATATTTTGTAAATTTTTATTTTTCCAAAAAGATGTCTCCTTTGATTTCAATATGAATGGGAGATTAATGGCCCTGACCCCCCAAGTATCACTTTTTGCCAGTTATCCATTAGTGGACCTATGCAGTAATTGTGCTTTCTTTTGCATTCTTTTACAGGATAACATGTCTCGAAGTGATGACCCGAACGACTATGTGGTGCACGACCCACTTTTGGAGAAAGGAAAAGAGAAATTCAACAAAATGCAGGCCAGGCAAAAACGACGTGAACGAGAATGGGCCGGGAAATCTCTTACTTGATCTCATTTCTGCTTTTCAATATCCGATCTAATATTTGAATCTCAAGTTCAGTCAAATGCTCTGCTTTCAGATGAAATTACTAATGATAATGCAACTACCCTAGTATAACAATGATAACAAGGTGAAAGTTCTCTGCTGCATGAATTGTATCGAGCAGTAGCACAACTAAACAGTTATGATATGTTTGGTTCGTGGTAATGGATTAGAGTTATAGTACAATAGACAAGATTTGAGTTTCTTTTTCTTCCTTGATCTTATCAACCAACTATGCTATATGTGAACGGGTGCTGCTTCTTCCCTTCTCTTCTTAGTTCTCCTCTTTTATGTTTAAACTTTAATTTTGATCTGTGATGATACAATGCGATTTGAAAGTGTACAATGCAAATGACACTGTCATCCTTGTATCTCCATGGATGTGTATTTCTCATGTGGCCTCCCTTCATTTCTGTCTCAGATAGTTACCAATTCCATTTTGTTGCTTGCTTTTGCTCTCCTCGTGTCAGTTATGAACTGGTGGCCCATGGCCCGTTTGATCTATGTGAGCTTCATTGGTGCATGAAGCTGAATTATATGTCTGCATCATCTGATTATTCAGGTAATAAAATATCATCAGTGTGTTAAAAGAGGGTGGTCTCTTATCTGTTGTAGAAAAGCATTCAATATTTAGTATCTCTTCCATCTAATCATCTATCAATTAGTAATTAAGTTTCAAATTAACGGTTTATTTCCATATTTTGTTTTTTTAATAAATCATTGTTGATAATAGAGAGAAATCCCTGGGCCGTCCTTTAATAGAAATAGAAAATGGTCAAAATTGAATTGGATTGCTGCTTCGATCTTATTAAACATGAAATGCATAAATAGGACTTAGAAGTTATTGCAATTTCATAAAAATGTTATCTTTAAGCCTACTCTATGCATTATCCTGATTGTGGATTGGAATAGGCTTTGCCTGATGAGGCTGTAAAGGGATTTTCTAACACGTTTGGATGGATTGTTTTTCTTTATTCGTATGGAAAAGACGTTACTTATTTTGGCAGTAACGTAGAAGTTACTCTAAAGCAATAACTAACATATAAGTTTCTTAAACCGAGTCAAATGTTCAGCTAATGAATACCTGTCTTTGGAATTGGCTGTTTTCAAGGTTTGGTTCCCTGTGTGAACAGTTTGTATTGAGTAATGTTTTGTGGTGGTGGTAGGTGTCTAGATGGTAATGGGGCTCACATTTAATTATCTAATGAAGGAACTGGTGCTTTGATAGGATTACTCGTTTGGGTTTCAGGCAACCCCAAAATAACTTAATATTGGACCTTTTAATACAAATGAGACATAGCCCAATGAATGGGAAACCCTGACTATCCTTAGCATGATCACATGTTATGGATTTAATCTAAATCCTGAACATTTAGCAGAAATTCACATGGTCAACTTTGACTATTTATTGATGTCCGTTTTAGATTTTGAGTTTTCCCCAAATAGGAAATTGATGTTATGTAGCTGTTCCGAAGAGCATGTAATGTCACTCCCTTCTAGAATCTATTGAATTTTTGGATTAATCTTGTCCAATTTTCTTGAACAGTGAATCTTTCTAAAATACAAAGAGAGTTTGTAACGAATAAAGTATACACTCTTTTAACTTTGTTGTGTTAGAATTTGGCTTGGAAAATATGAGCCAGCATATGCCTCTTGTCGATAACGTGTTTGGTCTCATACACAGGGGCTATACAAAATCAGGTGCTAGATTCGGTTTGAAATGTTGGTTATAGATGCTCTTGACCGTCGTTGGCCAGGCAATGACAATGGCGATGGCAATGGGATGTTGGTTTAAATGTGGTAGGACACGAGTTAATTTTTGAATTGGAAATGGTCAAGAAGAATTTACCATTACCCTATTTTGTAGTCGTTAATGGAGGAAAAACAGGCCTCTCCATAATTCAATTCACACTCAATTTTTAAGCTGCAATTTTTGTTGGGAATCTACTTATACATGCACAGCGGAAAATTAAATTATTTCGATTCCCATCCAATAGATCTCATTGTGTTTGGTTAGGAATTGTGATAAGATTGTACCTTTTCCAGATCTGCAATCCTTTTGCTTTTGATTTTGTTCCACAACTTTGATTCGCCACCACAGCTGTCCAATTGTCCAGCCTCCAACGGTGATCTACACAGAGAATATGATTGCAGCCTCTAGGGTTTTCTCTTGTGCCAGCAAGAATAATGAAAACCTTAATGGACCTCAAACCCTAGTTATGTATTTATATAAACCCAAAAAGGCTCGGCCCGGTCCGATCCAATAATTAATTAATCCAATTAATTAAACCCGGTCCGTGAATTAATTAATCCAATTAATTAATTCAAAAATATAAATAACAAATCCAATTAATTAATTTATCCAACAATTGTTAAATTAACTAATTTGCAATTTGCAATCTTCCAATTCTCTTTTGTGTGTGACCCATTAGGTTCCCGACCACGATACCTAACAACGTGAAATATTATTTTGACCTAATCAAAATTGATAAATTAAA